ACAATATTTCTATTATTTATTTTTGGTATTATTTGAATGAATTGATGAATAGTAGATGAAAAATATGAAATAAAGGAAGTAATAAGATATTTTTAAAGTGCAATAAATTAATGAAATAAAGAGTGTTATGTGTTGTTGTTAAGCGTGGGTTGACCATGTCAACCATTTAAGGATTCGGCCCAAGAAGAAGAAGAAGAAGAAGAAGAAGAAGAAGAAGAGAAGATCGTCATTGTGCCCTGTGAACGTACCGCTACATTTACCTGGTCCCACTCTGACCCACATTCTTCCTTCCTTTACAACAACGTTCACCAAGCAAAGATGCAGTCGCATGTTTTCTGTTTGCGAAAATTATACTTTTATCTTTTCTTCTTCTTATTCTTATTCTTATTCGAACATTACAAACAATTTTTATTATAATTATTATTATTGAATTAATATTCGAGTCATTTATTAATCTTCAATTATGTTTAGATTTAGTGTGTGTTTTGGCATAAACAAATTTTAAGTAGATTTAACCAAAATTATGCATTTAATTGTGCAACTTTGTTTGCTTTTCTTTTGGGAAATGCAGTTGTTTTTGCAGTTTTTGGATTCGTGCGAATCAATTATATTTGATTTTTATTTTTAATATATATATAATATTAAATATACATAATTATATATTAATTATTTATTAATTTTTGTTTTTTAAATGTAAATCTTTTGCCCCTTTTGGTTTTTTTTTTTTTTTTTAAAATCGCCAAATTTCTTTGTCATATATTTTGTTGAATATATATATATTTTTTTTTTTGGTAATAATCGTTGTCAAAGTAATTGAATGATAAAAATAAGTAATTTTGTATTGGTTATCGATGCTCGATTTATTTTATCTTCGTTTCAATGAAAGATCTGGAATATATTATCACGGATCGATGACTTCGAATTGGTACCATCGTCCGGATTTACACCGTAAACGTTCGTTTCGCTTCGTTTCCTTTACTCATAAAAAAAGAAAGAAAGAAAAAAAAAAAAGGATTTACCTATGTGCACCTTTCTTGTCCTTCGTATACTTTCAATATTTCAAATAAATCATGAAGTAGCAAAATTAGGTGATTCACGATTATATTTATCTTTCTTTTTGCAATATTTCTTTTTTTCGAGAGAGATCTATGATAAAACAATGAATAATATAATGTACAAAATCATTCAATATTCACACAATATTCATGGTGACTGTAAAAAGAACATTGACAATTTTACAATAATAAAAAAAAAGAAAAGACAAAGTTGCATAATATAAATAATATTTATTTAATTATCGTACATTTATTGTCTTTTGTTTTCAATAATTTTTATTATAAAATACGCAATATAATTCTTGGTAAAAAAAATGTTTTCCTGAAAAAAAAAACAAAAGAAATGTTGCACAATAATAAAATAATAAAATAAATATAAATATTTTTAATTTATCTTTAAAATCAGCATTAATTGTTTATGATGGGGTACACATTGGTACACGTTAAAACAATTATGTTAACCATAAATATATTCAATTGTTAATCTCATTTGTTAATTGATCGGAGAGATCGAATTACAAGTTGAAATGAAATTTTTCTTATAATATATATATTTTATTTGGTATTGTATTGTATGAAAAAAAAAGTTGATAAAAAAAATGTCGATGATAAAGAGAAAAGATCTGATGTTTTGATCGATCTTCATTCGAGAACGACGGTTTCGAGTTGAATGACCTGAAGAAGGTCCTCCTCCTCATTGGCTGTGGGAGACTTCGATAACTAGAACTCACTCGAGTGAGAGGAGAACCAGCAGTAAATCTTTTTAACTTTGAATTAAATCGTAGATCTAGGTATAGATCTGCATGCAAAGAAACACCAATGTACGATGATCATCAGAAAGAGAATGTCTACCAATGATTACAATTATAATGATGATGATGATGATGATGATGAATATGATTTTTTACATAAATTAATCAGAAGAATAATTGATAAAATAATTCGTCAGAATTTAATTGAAAATAAATATTTGAAGTAACTGTTAGGTAGGGGTAAAATAATTGATAAATTATGAAAGTGTGGTACAGTTAATAATACAAATTATGGAATTTAATATTTTATTAATATAATAATTTATATATACTTTTAATAATATATAATAATTAATTACTAATTAAATTTATCGTAATATACATCTTCTTAATGTATATAAATTACGTGTCACGTTGTTTGTGTGCAATGTACTCCTAAATTACTGAACCGATTTTAATCAAATTTTGCACACTGTGTACAATTTCATCCAAGTTGAAAGATAAGATAGTTTATAATAAACAAATAATTGGCAATATTATTTTATCGATTCATATATCCCAAAAATAAATCAAACTTACATAAAACAAAATAAAAATAAAATAATATAATAAAAATTTGCATCATACTTAGATGGAAGTAAAAATGAATGGTTGTAAGTTAGAATAGATCCCTTTCACCAATACTTAATAATAAAATATAAATCATAGTTTTCGATAAGGTAGAAATCGTCGTAATAGTGTATTGTGGGACATAAAGAAGATAAATCGACGTATACTCGGCCAAGTTTTTCATCATTTTTCTTTTCAACGGTAACATCGCGACGCGTCAAGTTTATTGAGAAGATGAAAAAGAGTAGGAGAGAAAAAGCACGAGGAACAGCAGCAGAAGGTGGTGATGGTGGTGATGGTGGTGATGGTGGTGGTGGTGGTGGTGGTGGGATAAGAAGGGGGAAAAGAAAAGGAGGTGTGTGTGTGTGTGGGTAAAAGGCATCGAATGAGTTTCTCAATCGGCACGATTCGAAAGAGAGTCGTCGTCGTCGTCGTCGTCGTCGTCGTCGTCGTCGTCGTCGTCGTTCGTGGCTTTATATATATTTTACTCTTCGCTCTTTTCTATTTCGGGACACGTCCGCGTGTCTTTCTCAGTGAGAAGCAACATAATGAAATTTCTCCTCTTACTTATCCACAAACGTCATCGGTTTGATCGTAACCCATAGTTTTGATGAAAAGCTTTAAGAATTATAAGAATCATACAATCATTGTAAACATGTACAAATATGTACAATTTGTCTAATTTATGACAAGTCAAGTATTTAAACAACAAAATTATATTGAAAAGAACACATTTGAAATATTCGAATAAAAAGATCATTATTCAAATTAAGATGAGAAATAAAACCAAAACTAGAAAGATAGTTTGATTTTTAATTGATTGATATAATAATTAGGGTTTTAATAGTTTCTTACTTAAAAAAAAAAAAAAAAATGCATTTCAATTATATTAAATTAATTAATAAAATTAATTATATCAAAATTGCATTGAAATAATTCTCATTTAATTTGAATATACCAAAATGAAAATAAACAAATACCCACAAAATAACAAGACACTCATTCGAGTATCCTCTCTATTCAATTACAATATGTTGAATAAAGGTGATAAAATAAACAAATAAAGAAAACAAAATAAAAAAAAGGAAAAAAACAAAATACACTAATAAAATAAAAGAAAGATTAGAAATGATTAGACAAAATTATGAGACCCCAAACATAAAGGATATTCATGAGTCTTGCCTCGTAAACATGAAAAGATTCCGACCAGCTGCAAGAGTTGTTTGTTTCTGTCGTTGAACAACCGTGGGAGGAAAATAAGGAGGAGAAGGAGGTGGTGGAGGGTTACGAGAAGAGGGTGGAGGGGGGGCTCTAAGGTAATAGAAGTAGCGAAGGTGGATAAAGAGAAGGTTGGTGGTAGTGGTGGTCATAGTGGAAATGGTAGAAATGCATTGATGGGGGTTTTAACGGGAGAGAAAGAGGAAGGTGGATAAAAGGGGGGAAGAGAAATGAAGGAAAAGGAGAAAAGGAGGTGGAGGAGGAGGAGGAGGAGGAGGTGGGACACCTGGAATGTGTGTAAGGTAAGCGGCGGCATCCGGGCAATGCCCTCGCATGTAAACAATCAGAAATTGCAGCCCCGGTTTCGCGAGTAAGCAACGCGAACGTGCCGTGCTGCACACACCTAAACACACCTGCACACACGAACATATAAAGAAGAACGCGTTGCACTTACACGATTAATCGCACACAAACCAATTACATTACCGCATGAATACATATATATGTATATGTATAAGAGTTCTGACTGAGTGAGACCGGTTCCCGTACCTTTTTGCACATTCTGTTGCACCTTCTGTTGCACTCCTTTACGTTCAACCGATCAATGTACCCCTCTCTCAAATTGGAATGACAGAGGGGGGAGGTGGGAGGTGGGATCTATTTTGTAGGAAAAATAGCAAATTTTGACAATTTGTTTATTGTTTTTTTTCGGTGCATATCATATTTGGTATAGGAGATTCATTGTGAAAGAATGCAGAATGAACTGACGATGCGTGACAGGAATTATGACGTTAGTGTGTGTGTGTGTGTTTGTATAGTAGTAGTATATAATATAATATACAATACAATTTGATTTAGGTGTGTCGATAATCAAGAAGATCCGATGTATTATTATGCCATTGTGTTTAGTGTCGTAGGACCTAATCGTGCGATAATACGCCATTGTTACGATCAATTATTTAATTATATTATTTATAAATACAGGATCATTTATGTAATTGTTATTGAATTTTTTTATTTTTTTATTTGTAATTAGGTGAAGGTTGTATCAAAGTTTTTGTTTCTTTTTTTTTTATATTGAAACATTATTCATGAAATTAGAA